TGTTGAGAGGCCTTGAGTCGACCTCTGCGAGTTTCTATAGCTAACGAGCAAGTAGTGTATTCCACAGAGGTGATTCGAGGATGTAGACTTGAGATCTTCGGTGTGGGGTTCCTGATTGATCTAGTCCCGATTGCAATGGGGGACGTATGTGTCATAGTGGGCATGGATTGGTTGAGCCAATTTGGAGCTATTATAGACTGCGAGCGTCAGCTGGTGACGATTCGAGACCCTAGTGGGGGAGAACTTACGGTGTATGGTGAGGGTACCCATCCTGAGCAGCATTTTGTTCCGCTGTTAGGGCGAGGAAGAGTTTGCAGCAAGGATGTAAGGGATTTGTGGCCTATGTGATGGACACGCGAGTGGCCGCTGGGAGGCCAAGTTCGATTGATGAGGTCCCAATTGTGTGGGAGTTCCCTGATGTTTTCCCCGAGGAGTTTCTGGGTGTGCCTCCCGAGAAGCAGGAGGAGTTTCGTATTGACTTGGTTCCAGGGGCGGCACCTATTGCCATGGCATCCTATCGCCTTGCGCCGCCCGAGATGCTGGAGTTATCCTTGCAGCTTCAGGAGCTGCTGGGGAAAGGGTTCATCAGACCGAGTAGCTCACCTTGGGGAGCGCCGATCCTTTTTGTCAAGAAGAAGGATGGTTCACACCAGATGTGTATTGATTACCATGAATTGAACAAGTTGACGGTCAAGAACCATTATCCGTTGCCGAGGATCGACGATCTATTCGATCAGTTGCACGGAGCGTCTTGGTTCTCCAAGATTGACTTGAGGTCGGGATATCATCAGATGAGGGTTCGGGATGAAGATATCCAGAATACAGCTTTCAGGGCTCGTTACGGGCATTACGAGTTCGTGGTGATGCCTTTTTGGCTCACCAATGCACCAACATCGTTCATGGATCTCATGAACAGGGTGTACAGACTGATGTTGGATCGTTTGGTGATCGTATTCATTGATGATATCTTGGTGTGTTCGAGATCCAGAGAGCACGATGGGGAGAATTTGAGGGAGATCCTCAGAGTTCTGAGATCGGAGAGGCTTTACGCTAAATTATCAAAGTGTGATTTTTGGTTATGGGAGGTCTAGTTCCTAGGGAACCTCGTTAACTAGAAGGGGATATTGGTTGATCCGGAAAAGATCGAGGTGGTGATGAGTTGGGAAGTGCCGAGGTCACCTACCGAGATCAGGAGTTTCCTTGGGTTGGCTGGTTATTATCGGAGATTTATCAGGGATTTCTCTAAGATTGCCTTTCCACTCACCAAGTTGACCGGGAAGGGTGTTGCTTTTTCATGGGGTCCGGAGTAGCAGACCTCATTTGAGATACTTCGCCAGAGATTGTGCGAAGCTCCGGTGCTCGCACTCCTGGAAGGGATGGAGGATTTTGTGGTGTACTGTGATGCATCGATATCAGGGTTGGGAGTAGCGCTTATGTAGAGGGGGCATGTGATAGCATATGCATCGAGGCAGCTGAAACCTCATGAGTCGAGGTATCCCACCCACGATCTAGAATTGGGGGCAGTGGTGCTCGCCCTCAAGATCTTGCGTCACTATCTGTACGGGGTTCGGTGTACTATATACACAAACCATAAGAGTTTGAAGTACTTGATGGATCAGCCCAACCTGAATATGCGCCAGAGGAGATGGCTGGATGTGGTGAAGGATTACGACTGCCAGATCTTGTACCACCCGGGCAAGGCTAATGTTGTAGCCGATGCCCTGAGCCGTAGGGCGGAGGCCACCCCGATACGAGATGTTAGCATGAGATTGATAGTGATGACTCCGGTGTAGGACACCATTCGAGGGGCCCAGGCGGAGGCCGTAAGACCAGAGAACCGCAAAAAGGAGCGAGTGATCGGGAAGGTATCAGAGTTTGTTACCGATAGTCGAGGAGTTATGACCTTTCAGGGTCGGGTTTGGGTACCGTTTGTGGGCGGAACGCGTACCGTCTTGATGGAGGAGGCGCATAGATTGAAGTTCTCGGTCCACCCCAGGGCCACTAAGATGTATTTGGTCCTGAAGAAAGAGTATTTGTGGCCCTGTATGAAGAGGGATCTTGCATGGTTCATAGAGAGGTGCTTGACCTGTCGCAAGGTTAAGGCCGAGCACCAGCGTTCGCATGGTAAGTTGCAGCCATTAGAGATTCCCGAGTGGAAGTGGGAACAGATCACCATGGATTTTATCACCAAATCGACGATCACTGCCAGTGGTGTCGATGCAATTTGGGTGATCATGGATAGGTTGACGAAGAACGCTTACTTCCTTGCCATCAGTGAGAGCTCTTCCGCAGAGAGGCTGTCAGAGTTGTACGTTAGAGAGGTGGTATCGCGGCATGGAGTACCGATCTCGATCGTCTCAGATCGAGATGTGCGTTTCAATTCCAGATTTTGGAAGAAATTTCATGAGGAATTGGGTACGAGGTTGCATTTTAGTACCGCATACCACCCACAGACTGATGGACAGAGCGAGCGGACGATTCAGATGCTTGAGGACATGCTTCGGGCATGTGTGCTGGATTTCGGCAGGAATTGGGACACGTATTTGCCTCTGGCTTAGTTTTCTTATAACAACAACCATCATTTGAGCATTGGTATGCCACCCTTTGAGCTATTGTATGGAAGGAGGTGTCGGACCCCCATTTGCTAGGGCGAGGTAGGGAAACGTGTGATGGGTAGTACATAGATAGTGCTTCAGACGACTGAGCAAATACAACATGTCAGGTAGAGGTTATTGATAGCTCAAAGTCGCCAGAAGAGTTACGCGGATAGGCGTCGGTCGAAGTTTGAGTTTCAGGTCGGGGATTTTGTGCTCCTGAAGGTGTCTCCTTGGAAAGGAGTAATCCGTTTCAGGAAGAGGGGCAAATTAGGGCCCCAATATATTAGGCCGTTTAGGGTGATCGCGAGGATGGGCAGAGTAGCATATCATTTGGAGTTACCTGCGGAGTTAGTTCAGATTCATGACACCTTCCACGTATCGTAGTTGAGGAAGTATGTGGCCGATGAGTCGGCGGTGGTACTGTTAGAGGATATCCAGGTGGATGTGAGCCTGAACTACGTTGAGAGACTAGTTGTGATTATGGATCGGAAGATCAAGGTTTTGAGGAACAAGGAAGTGCCCGTGGTGCAGGTCCACTGGCAACATCGGAGGGGGTCCGAGCTGACTTGGGAATCGGAGCGAGAGATGCGTGAGCAGCATCCAGAGTTGTTTGCGGAATGAGACTTCGAGGACAAAGTCTGATTCTAGTGGCGGAGAATTGTAACATCCGGACTCCCAGGTATCTTATTTTATGCTTTAATATTGAGTTTTTGGAGAGAAACTCGGCGAATAGGCGCTCAGACTCGCCGACTAGGAGCGCGGATGGTCAGACTGATTTAATGGCGGACTCGGCGAGTCCATGCTGTTTAATGAAACCCTAATCCCCGGGGTTTGAGACCTATTTAAAGGGGCTTATAGCCACCATTTGCGGCTACCAGACCCTTGAGAGAAACCCTTATTGTGCTTGAGCATTTGTGAGAGAGAAGAAGCCATTATTAGACCTTTGTGGTGTTGTTTTCCAAGAAGAAGTTGATTCCAGCTTGGAGGAGGCCAAGGAGGTTGCATATTTGTGGATTTCAAGCAGAGGGCATCATCTTTGAGGTAGCATATCGACCCTCTTTCTGTTTTGTTAAAGCATCCATGGATCTAGGGTTTCCTTTGCCCTTTATTGGGTTGATTTGTTGAGAATAAGGTCCCTTATCATGTTTAGACTTCGGATCTGGACCCATAGTGGTCCAGAGAAGGTTATCTATCTTGCTTTATGTTGGGTTATGGAAGAAATGAGCTTAGAGTGTTGTATTTGGGACTAAATCATCAAGTAGTGTCATTTGGACGTTGCATGTGTATCAAGTTCGAATCTTTACGTGTTTATTGAGCTTGGGGAGGTTAGATCTATGGATTAGAGGAGCAGATCTGACCTCAGAAGGTCATTTGAGTTCGAGCATGGCTTGAACTCACCGAGTCCAAGAACAGACTCGACGAGTAGGATGGGTTTTCCCCATAAATGACGTAGATGGTAACTCGCTGAGTTGGGGAAGTGACTCAGTGAGTCATTTGGGATTTTGAGGATTTCATGACTGAACTCGCCGAGTCATAATAGTGCACTCGGCGAGTCTGGTCAAAGGGTTGACCGTTGACTTTTGTTGACTTTTAGGGTTTGGTCAACTTTAGAGTATTTGAGCCTTAAGAGGGGTAAAATGGTTTTTTGCCCTCCTGAGAGTGCTAAGAGAGGGAATGGTCTAGCCTTCGGAAATGTGTTGATGCAGAGTGTTTATTTTCGTATGATTAGGCGGAGGCTAGATCCTATTTCACGGAGTCTGAGATTTCCGAGTTACCGAGTTACACGAGGTGAGTCTTTTCACTATACATTACCTAGAGTGGTATTATGATTTGATCGGAAGGTCTTATGTGCTATGTATGAGATTGTGTGCCATATATGCAATTATGTGCTATGTGATGTTTATATGATATATAATTGTATAGACCGGACCGGAGGGTTCAACGATTCAGAATGGGCCGGAGGGCCCAACGAGCTATGACTGGACCAGAGGGTCCAACGAGCTACGGGACTGGAGGGTCCCGTTGAGACACATCGACTGGAGGGTCGTACAGTAGCCTCGAGTGGTGTATGTGTCGTATGTGGTATTTTGGGGAACTCGCTAAGCATTTATGCTTACAGTTGTTGTGTTATGTGTTTCAGGTACTAGCGAGGATCGTAGGAAGGCACCGGCATGACCCGTACACATCAGAGATGGTATTTGATTTTGTGATCTTGGGATATGTTATGTTTTGATAACGATTGTTGAATACTTTTGAGAATATTTTTACATAAATTTGGTTGTTGAAAAATGAAAATTTTGTTTTGAAAATTCTGTCGTTACAAAATAGTGAAAAAGCAAACCTGAAGAAGCCTTGTTTGACTACTAAAATGGAGATAGCGAGAAACTCTGTCTTTCTCCCTTTTTAAACACTCTTCTCCCTGATATTCCAAAACGGGCAATTAAAATTTATAATGAAAATTTTCAAAACCAAAGAGGTGTAGAAATAATCTGTTATAGGAAAAGGGTATCTTAAAATACACATAATAAAGATAGATCTAACCTTGATGTTCATAATAAGAAATCAATTCAACTTGGGAATTAAGAGAAAAACAAAAGAACACAAACCTTTGCATAACAGTTAATTCTGTATACTCTTCTTGTTCATTGAAACACAAGTATCGAGAGCCACTAACCAACGGTCAGGATTTAATCACGCAAAAAGTGCATATTGTTTCCATCTTCATATGAGACCATTTAAGAGTAGGATGAGGAGTCCGATCAGGCCATACGAGACCATTTAAGCAGAAATTTAAGTCATTTGGTGTATCTCCAAAGTCACCTCCATATGCCCGGTATTTGCCACCATTTGCATTTTCCTTGAGTAACCCCTGAAACTAGATGCAAATATTTAGAACTACCCTTGTCGTATGCCTACTTGACATGATTCACAGTCGATAATGTTGTCTGATGCATCTTTCAGGGTGACAACTAATGTATACAAATTTGGCTGCATGCAACATAATCCAGTGTTATTAGATGAAGAGGTGAAAAGAAAAGTAATTTGTTTGATTAAAAGACAAGATTTCTAACTTGCTCTGCAGACCAAAGCTTGGGATTTCTCAGTTTTCCTTCTAATCGATACCCATGAAACCCTAAAGGAAAACGAGAGGGCTGTTGAAGCTCCAAACTGGCCACGTTAGTTGATAGTAGATTGGAACCCTCATTGGTATTGATATCAAATAGTGTGGCTTCAATTTTGACATTTGTAATGTCATTGATCTTCATACAATTATCAAGTATTACTTCAACTTAGTGTATAAAAACAAAAGAATTCCACCATTATACAACTCTTCTTACTTTAAAAGATCACAAAATTATTGACGGAGAAAAATCAGTTGTGAAGATGTTAATTACCTCTAAATCTGCATAGGTAGAACTTTCGGCTGAACTTGATCTGAAGAAATAATATGCAATGAATACCTGAACACATGCAGACAACATAAGTTTGTGTGAAATAATATAATTAAACACTTTAGTTGATGTAAGAAAAGTCAAAAACCTTTGGCTTGGATAAAAGGAGCACATCTCTATGGATGCCAGACAACCACCAATGATCTTGATCTTCAAGATAAGAACCATCACTCCATCTATATACTTTTACAGCTACAACATTCTTCTTGTTAGATCCATGCTCATAACAAAACTCGGTTATTTCAAATTCAGTAGGTAGACTACTATCCTGGCTGACCAAACACCAAAACGAATAAAGCTTGTGAATATGTATATCATATTAGAGTATTTGTGCTTGTTTGAAGGGTACAATAGATTGTTGTCTCAACCTCAACTCTGTTGTCTCAACCTCAACTCTGTTGAGAACATATCCACAACCCCTTCTAATGCTGGTTTAGAAATTTGAGCATTTAAAGTTGTTGCCATTAATAAAATAACTTGAAGTGTAATGTACCAATCAATCATCAAATCAATTTTTTATTTTTTTTTATTACTAATATATGGTGAAAATATGTATCTCATAGTCAAGAGGCTTGCAGACGTGTCTCACGTGCAACAAGTAGGAAAAGCAAATATTTTTCTTTTTTATTTTTTGTTGTAGGAAGGGTATATTAGGAAACATTTAAACTTTAAATGCTCCCCTTCTTTACTTCCATTTTTCAATTTCCTATTTCCTAATAATAATTAGTTATACCTGAAAAAGGTGTGAATATTAGTTGTTGTATGGAAGCCTTTTCCATTAAGATCTAAACATCGGAAAAGATATGTAATTCCCTGTGTAGTGT